GCTACTGGTTACTAAGAACAAGTAGCTCCTAGTTGTAGAATGTTATTGCTACATTCACAATACATATATGGCTACTGGTAGCTCCTGGTGGTTGAATGCTGTTTATAACCCACAATACAGATGGCTACTAGCTACTAACGCATAGCTCCTTGTTGTAGAATGCTATTGGTAGCTACAATTCAATGGCTACTGACTACTAACACATAGCTCCAAGTAGAAAGTGATGCAGATGGCTACTGGCTACTAACACGGGCCTCCTAGTAGTACAATGATGCGGATCTCCACTGGCTACTAACAAGTAGCCCCTAGTAGTAGAATGCAATGGATGGCTACTCACTACTTCTAGGTGGTGAGTTACTGGACATGATACAAGTTTGCCTTTTAGCTGGTATTGTCAAGTGAAATGAGTGTCTCCTGTTGTGTGACCTCTTAACTACGGAGATTTTCTTATCTTTCTCAATTTTTGCTGTTTGATATTTCTTGTCTTTGGACAATTAGTCATTTGGAACCTCAAGCTCTGTTTGGGATTTTTATCCAGCTTTTCTTTAGTGTTTCAAATTTATTTTTTAACAAGAAAATGGTTTAACAGTTGCCACTTAACGAAAACTTCAAGTTTTGTGTGTAAAGTGTAAACTTCTCATTTTGCATGGGCGTTGAACAGGCTGGTGTTTCTAGACTTGACGTCTTGAGAAAGGAACAGAGGCTTAGAGTTTTAGATTGTACTTAAATTGTTGCTTGCAATATCAACAACTCAAATTTCATCATTTACATTTCTCTTCTAATTTCTCTTTAGATTGTTTCAGATGTATTTGCATTTTCAGTTAAAAAGCTTCATCATCCACAGTCGTTCTTGTAATGGGTATTGACCATCTTCCTAGATGAGCAGTGTAATTTATGCACCTGATGACTCCTCTGCCAGTAGGTCCATCGGGGAAATCAATGACACTGATACTCCCAGCATCAAGATTGAATGATCCCATCCAATCTTTTGTTAGATTTAGGCATTGCCCCATAAAAGCTATGTGCAACACAGGATGGCCAACGGCAACAACAATCTTTTCTGGATCAGAGCCATCAGATAGTTCAGTTAATAGCTTCTGCCAGGCTCTCCCAGACTGATCCCATAGTGTTGATGCTACTCCGTCCTCCAATTCCTTTAACCAACCAGGCTGTAATGTTGAAACCTCCGTTGTGCCCTGCAGGTGAGTAGAGAAAATGATTAGGCAAACTCATGGAAAGCATTAAAAAATAAAAATAGAACCAGTGAGAGTATTTGCACTTTTTAATATGGCATTCTATGATGATTAACAAAGTTTAGAAATTCTAACCGGCTGTGCTTTCCAGGAAATTTCAATTCAGATGTCTTACCTTTGCGGATTGCAAAAGGATGTCTTCAACATTGAGGTCCTGTATTTCCTTCATCTCCACATACCGCGGCACACAATCAGCCCCTAAGCAATCGGCAGCTTCTTGCAGCTAGCAATCAAGTAGTGCAAATGGAATTAGGAGTTAAGCAAAAACTCATGAATAGTGTTCTGGATGTAGAATTATTTTATTCAAGGAACAGTGAGTTGAGAGCTTACCTTGGAGATGATTGTGGCTGTCTCAACACTAGCATTCTTTGGGCTGCTAACAATGGAGCTGATTTTCAAATCAAGAAGCAGCTCTGCAGTTTTCTGGGACTGTAAAGTGCCCATAAAACAGATTCTGGCAATCACGTTTGAAGCTCTCAGCTTAAAATAAATCTCAAGCTATTCTAGTTCTAGTACTCTACCTGAATGATCCCAAGCATGTTCATGGGTTGATCCCCAGAATTTGGGAACTTGGCCTATGGTGCAGTAGAAGCAAAGATTACTATCATGACACTTTTATGAAGAAATATAAAGCAAAAACAGTCAAATAGTAATACGAAAAACAGTTATAGATACTTCTGGGTCATTCTGTGTGGATCCTTGACAGACAAGTATGATCCGCTTACTGGTCTTTCTGCCTCCAGAACTTCCAGAAGAAGCAACAGGTGAATTTGGTGTCTGCAACAAATCCAAGTAGCAATTAGCAAACCCATCATTGGTCCAATCTTCCACAAGAAAATGACAGAAAGAAACATACTATTAAGAAAACCTCCCATGGCATTGCCAATTCTCAACAAATTTCTCAAGTACCTGGTTTAGACGATTCAGGCAAATATATGGAGATCCACCATCAGATCGTGGGGTGAAATCAAGTACACTCACACCACAATTGCTCTGAAGTAAAATCCTAAAGTACTCCGTTCCCAATCCTGGTTGAGAAGTCAAGAAGGAACATCATATGATTAATTTCACTTTTGTAAAAAAAAAAAAAATACAAGTTACAACAGAGAAAAAGACTAGCACCAATTCAAGTTACAACAGAGAAAAAGACTAGTACCAATTGCTGTTGCAACAAGAGCTTGATTAACAGCATTGTGTGCAACCACAAGAACAGACCTGCTGTCATGAGTTAGAATTTTAGTCCAACAGCTTCTGGCACGCGCCCACAACTCTCTCACTGGATAATGACCATCAATGTTGAAATTCGCAGCATCAACCTGCCATTGACGATATGCTGCACCAAATTTTGCTTTCCCTTCATGCTTCAACAGACCCTAACATCCAGCAGTATAATAAAATGACTAAGCCATGAACAGACACTGAAATGTATATCTTAATTCATCAAACAAGATTGCTTTTTCTAGAACTACCTGAAATGAGTAAAGGTCAATTTCCCTTAAGTCGGAATCTGTAATCATCGCCTCCTCGCGAGGCCCCCAAATAATTTCAGCTGTTCTCTTGGATCGAATCAGGGGACTAAAATGGGAAAACGAAATTTAAATTGACCTTTCAAGCTACTATAGCTCAAGCAGAGGTTTCGAAAAGCAAAAACAGAAGAGGAATTAAAAGGTAACCTGGAGAAGCAGACATCGAAGGAGTCATCGATTAGCATCTGGCGGGAAGTCTCCGCCTGAGCCTCCCCTTTCTTAGTCAAAATCGAGAAATTGGAACTCCCCTGGATCCTCCCCTCCGCGTTCCAGGTGCTCTGCCCGTGCCTCACCAGCACAACTCTCTTCGCCGTCCGAATGGGAGGGAACGGTACGGAAGCGTACAGTTCAGTGCTCAGTTTCCTCTCCGCCGCAGAGGAAGACTTGTCGATCTCCTGGAGGCTGGAAGATGATCGGACCGTGAACGGAGATACACGTTTCGGTTGTGGAAGATACAAACAGCCGCGGAGAGGCGGAGGAGCTAGGGTGACGAAAGGCATTTCGAAGGGTTTTTCCCGCTACAAAGAAAC